CGACGTTCTGATGAGGGGGGAGGGGGTATGCATGTGGATGCAGTGGGAGCATGGGATGGCAGGGGAGGGTGTGTGTTTTGAGGGGGACCTCAAGAGGGGTGCCCGGGAGTATCCAGTGGACAGGAACCTGCTTGTAGATCCCATGGTTGACTGAGGCAGGGGCCACGCAGCACCATCGTGCTTTCTCATGGTGACATTCCCCCACCCTTCCCACTCCACCCCCCCTCTTCCGCCACCCACCTCCGGGGTGAACATGGTGAGGGGCACCAGGGTGCAGAAGAAGCCGAGGGAGACAAAGTGGGTGGCGCACTTGCGCACGCCAAAGTACATGAAGATGAGCTCCAGCTTGCGTATGAGAGGCAGGTTGGAGGCCCAGATGTCCTTGCTGGCCTTGCTCCAGAGCTGGATGGGGCCGCAGGTCCAGCGGTGCTGCTGCTTGCGGTAGGCGAAGAAGCTGGCGGGCAGCTCGTTCAGGCAGGTGACGTTGTCCAGGAAGATGGCCTTCCAGCCGCGCACGTAGGCGCGCAGGGAGAGGTCCATGTCCTCCACCGTGGTGCGCGAATTCCAGCCGCCGCTGGTCTCGATGCAGGCGCAGCGCCAGACGCCGGCGGTGCCGTTGAAGTTGAAGAAGGACCCCGCGGCGCTGTGCGTGTACTGCTCGCACTTCATGTGGTAGTTCAGGGACACCTCCTGCGCCTTGGTCAGGTAGCTCTCCTGCGGGTTGGTGAACACCCAGCGGGACTGGACGTACCCGACCTGGTCGCGAGGGGGGGGGGGGGGGGGGGAGGGGCGTTGGGCCCTGCGCTGTGATCGTGTGTCCTACAGGCCCGGACGCAGGTGAGGTGGCATGCTGGCTGGGAGCAGGAGCTCTACCACCCTCCATCCGAGATTCTTTGGGCACCCTGGCTACTGCACCTCCAGCCCACTGCACCCTTCAAGGAGACCCTCCGCTTCCCCCAAGACCGACTTCCCATGGAGCACTCTCTCCGCGCGCGCACACACACACACTCCCACACACGCAAACAGCCGGGCCCACCTCGCCATGGCCAGGACCCCCAGGGCGCTGGACGCGATGGCCAGGGTGGGCGTGCCATGCCGCGACTTGCGCGCAAAGGCGGCGGGGAGGAAGCCGCGCTCCGCCATGCCATGCAGGAGGTAGGAGTCGGTGGACATCTCCGCCTCGAACTGGCCCACCTGGCTGACCATGGCCGCGCCGACCACCGCCCAGCCCAGCCAGCGGCCGCCCACGCGGTCCCCCACCACCGCAAAGTAGCCCAGGTCCCAGTCCGCGGCGTCGGCGGAGTAGCTCAGCCCCACGATCAGGGGGAGGAGGTAGGAGGCCACCACCAGCACCACCGCGCCTGCACGAGGGAGAGGTGGGGGTTCAGCCACTCCACACACCAGACAGTGAAGACGTGTTTCGGGAGGTGGGAGGGCACCGCATGCCGACAGACGTGGAGACGCCAGTGTCGCGACGCCCAGCAGCCCCTAGGTGCTCCGGCGCCCGCCCCCCACCCCCCCATGCCCCCGACGTGAAAAGCATCCCCACCTGCCAGGGCCCGGGGGAAGGTCTTGCCGGGGTTGCGGACCTCGCCAGCCAGAGTCGACACGCTGTCCCAGTAGTTGAGGTTCCTGCAGGATGCCCAGGGAAATGCTTGGGGCTGAGCCAGGGGTCTGTGCGCCCATGTTGCCAGCCATGTGTGGAGCGCATGAAACACCCTGCCATCGACGCTGTCAACCCCTCTTCATTCATGGCAAGCCACGCATCCTCTGTTCCCCTCCTTAAGGCCATCCAGCACTCCACGGCACCTCACCAGAACATGACGTTGAAGAAGGGAAACCACTGCACTGCAGACCAGTCCGACTTGACCAGGTTGGCTGGCTTCAGGTGAGGCAGCCCTGTGGCAAGGGGGCATGGGGGAGATTCGAGATCTGGGCAGCGGTATCAAGAAAGGAGAATGCCAAGATAGAAGACACAGGCAGGCCCGATGACATTGTCACAAGCACCTTGACTCACGGTATCAGACGCATACTGTAGACCGTTGGACAAGCAACGTGAAACTCTTCCAACCCCCAGCTGTGCAGTGCGCTACACCACAATTCACCATGCATGCCACCCAGATGGCCCCCAGAGGCCCTTCCCCCCATCATTCCCCCTGTTCCAAACACACAGCGCCCACCAAGGAGGGTGATGATCACAAACGGAGCCAGGGTGAGCCCCGTCATGACGATGGCAGCGTTGCCCACCACATGCAGTCCCCGGTAGTTCAAGTAGGTCAGCGTCAGATTCAGGCCCACAAGGAATACCCTGCAGGAGGAAAATTGGGGGAGAATGATAGAAACTACGACCCACAATGGGCGAGTCTTGCAGGTGCTGCATTGGACACCGATTCCACTAGGCCCCACATTGCAACAGTACCGATCAGATGACCACTCACAAGCGCGGCCATCCGTCCTTGAATACGGGGATGCCCTCCTGCAGGTAGGTCAGCAGCATCACTGGGTAGACAGCGTTGTCCGTGACTCCGCTGATCCATGACCAGAAGCCCTCCTGCGGGTGGAGGGTTTGCAGAGGCGGTAGAAGAGAGACTCTGTGGAGCCACCGTCAGCATGTTGAGCCCTCCAGCCGGCCAGCAGCGCGCGTGTTGAGCGCCACCATCCGGACAATGATGGCACAGCCGATTCCACCTCCTGTAAAGATATCTCCTTCCAAGAATGCAAGAATATCCTACCACACCCTTGCCTGGAATCCCCAGAAGGGACCAAAGGCAGCGGTGACCCAGGCGACATAGCCCGAGTTCTCTGGGAAGGTGGTCGCCATCTCTGCGGTGATCAGCGCCTCCGGCACGGACCACACGATGGGTAGCACCATGAAGCCAAGCACCGCCAGCAGTGGACCCCCCGAGCTCACAGCATCCTGGCGTGGGAAACAGAGGGGGTGGAATGTGCACCTTCCTGGTGCATAAGCAACTTGCGAATGTATGCATGGCATGTTTTACCCTGCACTTGCAACCGGCGTCGGCCCCTCGACTCACCTCGATCCCAAAGGGCCCCCCTGCCACGTCATAGAAAATGAGGGCAATCAAGGGAAGCAGGGACAGCGGCTTGAGTGCCTGCGGGGCGAAGGGTGGAGGCAGTGGAGGCACGTTTCGGCCAGCTCACGCCTCCAGGCTAGGTCGCTGTGCAACCCCCGTGCAGCGCCCTGTGCGCACACCGTTTTGGATGAAGCCGCACGGCCGTTCTCGGCCGTATTCAGGGCATCCTCCAGGAGAGCATCCGTTTCGACATGCATTGTGCCGGAGGGGCTCAGCTCCAGCTCGCTGGCAGCCTCCCACGCGGGTCGGGTTGTCGACTCCAGGGTGCCTCCCCCTCCTGCCACCCCGCTCGCTACCTCACGCTGTTCACAAGCACCATCGACCCAATAACTTCCACATGTGCATTCGGGGGAGGGTTGACGGCTCCTGCAGGTCTTAGAATTGATGTGCTTCGCATCCTAGGGCTTGATGGTGCCTCGTCGCGCGCTGGATTTCGATGTCATTCACCCGGGCCACCCCCCCTCCCGCGAGTCCGTGACCCCTGCATAGAAGGCTTTCCTCCAGCATGCAGCATTGCCTCCCATCGCAATCCTAGCCATGTCGAGGTTGCGATCGGCTTTGCCGGCCTTGCGCCAGCTGGCCCTGCTCGGTGGCCCAGGCATCACAGGTGGGGATTTTTTGGTGTCGGGATGCGTGCATGTCGGCGACAAGCACTCGAATGAGCTCACCCCAGCTTGTGATACAATATGCAGGCCCTGGCGCATTGCAAGGGTGCGCTGGCCCGGCGGGCAAGGCCCTTGCCCAGCTGCCCAGCGCAGCCGGGGCCACCCTTCCGGCATTCGTCGGCCTGGAGCTGGCACGGTCTTTCGCCACAGCCCCGGCGGGAGGACGGCGGCAACGCCCCGGTCGTCAGGCTGGATCACAGGTGGGACGCAGATGAGTGGAAGTACTGCTTCTCACCCAGCCTCGGGGTGCTGGGAGCCGGTGCTGAGTCCGCCAGCCTGCCCCACCCCCCAGGAGCTCGTGAGCGCCGAGGAGGAGTTCAGTGCCATCACCGACAAGATCCCCCAGCGACCTGTGGGTGTGGTGGAGGGCACCAGCTACACCGTCATCATCCTCGCAGCCCTGGGGGTGAGTTGGCTGACTGGGTTCTTGGGCACGGTGAGGTGGCAGGCGGCATGTTTTGGTGTTTTCCAAACAGCCCTGCTGGGCGCTGGATGCTCGACGACTTCCCCCATGCCTCCCAGTTCGCGGCGGCCGTGCTGTATGCCGCTGTGAACGAGCTGCTGCTGCAGCCCGCCGAGTACACGTGCTACAACAAGACGCTGGACCTGATCCGCGACGACCCCCGCGTGACCGTGCGCCTGGGCGAGCCGGTGCACGCCTACGGCACGGAGAGCAGGAATCGGTCGGCGCGGCAGCGCATCCCACACCGCGAGTACCAGGACGTGGAGGGCAGGCAGCACATCCAGGTGTGTGCGTGTGTTTGGGGGAGCATGTCCTCGGCAGCTCCTGCGCCCCCTGCAGCGCCCACGGGGCTGCTACTGCTGCCGGGAGGGAGCGCACTCTCGCCGCACCCACTCTGGCAAGCATGCCGCTCCCTGTCACATGCTTCCGCCTGGAGCCCCAGCATCCCCTCCCCCACCCCTTGCAGATCCAGTTCCACCTCAGCGGCCCCAGCGGCCGGGCCACTGTGAACGCCGACATGTACCTAGAGAGTGGGGCCTGGAAACACAATTTCCTGTACCTCGACGTGCAAGAGCCCATCCGGCAGCAGGTGGGGCTGCGGGCAGGCCAGGCAGCTACTTGATGGTGTGCCTGGGGCTGGCCAGGGTTGGGACAGATGCGATGCTTCCAAAATCTGGAGCGCACGGGAGGGCGGCTCCCTTTCTTGCACCCAACCAGCCGCTGCCTGCCTCGCAGGTGGTGCTGGTGAGGCCTGAGGTCCAGATGGTGCCAGCTGCTTGACAGAGGCAGTCCAGGGCAGTGCAGGCCTGTGATGCGCGGTTTTCTGTCTGCCAGTTTCGAGACAGGGTATGCTGCCCGGCCTCCCCCTGGCACCCATCGTTTCATGGCGACGCCGCTCGCTATCCTACAGGCATGCACAAGGCGCTGTGGGTGCATGCAGTGTAGGTCAGGTTGTCAAGTCAGTGTACAGAGCGCCACAACACGGGCTGGAGAGGGCTGCAAGGGAGGATTAGACTCAAGGAGGTGCCAGTTTGCGAGGCCAAGGCTGGGACTGGCTGGGCAGTCTGGCACACACAGCGGGCCAAATCATGACGGGGACAGGGTTTGATGCGTGCCAAGCTGGCGCTGTGTCTGCAAGGGTTGTGCCGGACTGAATCATTTGAACATCTTCTTGAGTTCCTTGCTGACCTTGTGCACAGGGCCCGCAATTGGTCCCCGGCGCTTCTTGGTGGGGGTGCTGTCCTGTGACGGCAGTTTGTGGAAAGGGGAGGGCTTTGGCTGAGGGCGTGTACACAACATCAGTGCAGAGGAATGCGACAAGATAAACGGCCTGCCCGCACCTCCCAGCCTCACACCTTGGAGCTGGATCCATCGACGGGGTGGCTCGCAAGGTCGTGCTTTGCCACCGCTGGCAGCGGCGCGGTGGGTGCCTCAAGGCGACCAGGAGTGGCGGGCGGGGTACTGGAGATCTCAGCGCTGAGCTTGGGGGTGGCCGGATAGGACGAGAGGGGCGAGCTGTCAGTCCCACCCTGCGCAGTTGAGGGGCTGGAGGACATCCTGGGTGGGCGGGAAGAAAGACGCAGAGTGTGCCCTCCATGGTTCCAAGAAGACAATCTCCACCACTCGCAGTACCTTGAGGGGAGCCTGGGGAGCAAACGGCATGTTAGCAGCTGGAAGAGGGAGTTGCCGGTGGATGGGCCCTCCTAAGATCAATGGAATTTGCGGAGGATGGCTGTAACTTCCTAGTTGTGAGATGAATGAGGAATTTTCCCGCCCCAGCATACACAGGCTCAGGAGGGCACATGGCATTCTGTGGCCTGAGCAAGTTTCTGCCTACCCCTCGTAGATATGGTCTCCTTCTGTATGATCTGAGGTGGGGTGGGCACAGGGGCTGAGATGGTGCGATCCTCCGTTACTGTTGCTGACGGCCTGCTCTCCACTTCTGCAGTGACCAGGAGGGTGTCATTGGTGGAGGGTTGCCGGGTACAGGAGGCGTCACACAAGCCACACCTCAAAGAGTAGCCAAGATGCCCACCCATTCAAAGCTGACAAACCTTTCGACTCACCAGGTCCTCGTCGATGAGGTGCGACTGCATCCTGTGTCGTTCCCCCAGAGGTGCGCCTGGATGTGAGCCCATATGTGCGTGCCAGGGGCAGGATTTTCGGGTGGCTGGCCAGCCGCTCAAGCCTGGAGGCCACGGCGGGCTGCAGGGACTTGGTCCAGATCAGCTTGGAGCCCTCGAGGATGCCCTGCCGCGACATGGATGCGATGGCGGCACTGAGCCACAAATCTGTCATTCTTGGAGTACAGGCAGGGCAGCGCGCCCGAGGGGTTGTCAGCTCAGGATGGGAGCTGCGCGCACCTGCGTTCCTCCCGCAAGTATTCCTGCAACGGTATATAGGAAACGGATGCTGCTCTGGATGGTGTACACACTGGTCCAGAGTCCGGACTTAGCGGCGCCAGCAAATCTGTCGCCCAGCCTGCGAGCACGCGTGGCATATGTGGTCGCCATCGTTTCCTCTGATTGTCCGCTAGATCTGGAGCTGGCAATATGATGTATTGATGCAGCATGTGTATGTCCTGGATACTCGCTCACACATGTTGAAGGTATCTGCTTGGAACCTGAGTGCGCTGCGTTAAATATTGCCGGGCCAGCCCTGGCGCGCGCGCGCTCTGGATACCAATGTGGTCGTCCCCGAAGAGGTTTCTTCCACATTTAACCTTCTGGATGCACAGCCGCCACTCCATTCACCCATCCAATATAGAAATCAAACAGATTTGCGCCCGCTTGACGACTCGACCTGGAAGGAGCTCTGCAGTGGCCGGCGGGCCGAGGCACGCATCATTGAGCCGGCAGGATGGCTGACACAGTGGTAGAGATGTCCCAGCAGGCTCAGAATTCAGCTGCCTCCAGGAGGGCAGGGAAGCCCAAGCGCAAGCCTCTCACACGAGTCGAGCTTCGGGCAAGAGCGGCCTACCGAGCGATGGAGAAGTGGGTGTCGGGGCTGGAGTCGAGGACGAGCGACAGTCTCTGTGCCCATATGAGAATTAATGTGGGCACATCCCATCCTTGCCGTCCCTGCATGCCGACCTCAACTCAGTACCTGGCTCGATTGCCCAAGGCGCTCCCTGGCTCCATCCCCAGGTTGCTGGAGGTGTCTGGGAGCAGCTCAGAGCACGTGTGGAGCCTGGCACGCGTCATGAGTGCAGAGGAGTACCGCCAGGTGGGTGTATGCGGCTCAGGAAGGTTGCCCATTCAGCAGGGCGTGGATGCTCCTGCTGCGAAGGGGACTGACCTGTGCTGGCAGAGGGCCTCGGATTCTACCAGCGAGTGGAACCCCCCCTCCAGCGTCATTTTGGCTGTCTGGACACTACCAAGTACATACGCATCAACCACACTCTTCCCTGTCGCTGCAGCTGGCCCAGGAGCGCGCGCTGGCCGGCCTGTGTGGCCAGCCGACCTGCGCCTCGCCCCAGCCCCAGCTCCCGCCCCGCAGGGCGCTGCTGCGCCTGGCGGAGCCCGCCCTCGAGGAGGCCGAGGAGGTGGACCTCGCCGGGGTCACGTGCAGCCCGGCCTGCGCGGCGCAGGCCGAGGCCGTGGCGCAGCGGCTGGGCGGGGCGCAGCGTGCACAGCAGCGCTTCGACCACCTGTACGACGCCGTGCTCGAGCGGCGTGCCGCCCACGCCGCGCCCGGCGCCGCCGCCGTGCCAGCGGAGCCGCAAGCGGGCCTGGCGGCCGGCTCCTCCAAGGTCCCCATCATGCAGGCCCATATCAAGGTGCGTCCCGAGATGAGGGGTGCACAAGACTCCATAAGAGTTTGCTTGGGCGTGCATGGTTTGAGCGCAGCCGGCCCACCTTTTGCACAGCTCCCCCCCTCCCTCCTTGGTTTGCCACAGTACCCCACCCTACACCTATCCTCTCTCTTCTTCACAGGAGCGTGCACCTGCTGCAGCTCCTGTGGCACCCTCCAAGGCCGCATCCTCCAGAGCCGTGGAGGGGTACGTGCCACGATCCTGCCCCCCGCCGCCCCGGACTGCCTCGGAGCGGCGCGTCCACTTTGCGGAGGCGGAGCCGGCCGCGGCACCGGCCGCCGAGCTTGCTGCCGCCGTGCCGGTGGTCGTGCCCCCCAAGGCCCACTTCGTGCTGGAGGTGGAGGATGCCATGAGCCCGCTGGAGGGGGCCGGCGCGGCCGCCATCGGCTCGCTCTTTGGCCGCCTGCGCCTGGCACCGGAGGGCGGTGGGCCGGGATCAGACGGCGACGGCGAGGCGTCAGAGGCACCGGGGTGGGCGGACGCAGCAGTGGACACGCTGTCCGCCGAAGCTTCCGCCGCGCCGTCGGCCCTCGAGCTCACTGCAGAGCAGGTCAAGGGGCTGACGAGCCTCAACCCGCGCCTGGCGGGGGTGCTGCCAGTGCCTTCTACCAAGGGAAACAGCGCGCAGGAGGCGGGGGAGGAGCGGGAGGAGGAGGGCGATGCCTGGGCGCCCAGCGACGATGACGAGCAGGGGCTGGAGCTCGGGTGAGCCTGCAGCGCTGGGGTTGATGGGGAGGGCAGTGGGCCTACGAGCGGTGGCATGTCAGGCATGGGAGACTTCCTGCCGAGACCCTGCGGCAATGCTTTGGACCATCTGCAGTCCGGGCGGTGCGGGCTGCACCCAGCTTCCAGGACCTTGCCGGAGCGACCATGCCAGCAGGCGATGCTCTGCTCCCAGTACCTGCTGCACACGCTCACATCCTCACAGCCGTGCCGCTACACCCTCCCCTTTCTCCCCACCCAGCTCCTCCGACGACAGCGAGACGGAGCTGGTGAGGGGACAGGGGCCCAACCGTCCCCGGCTCACACTCTCCACCTTCGGCCTGCTCTTCACCCACCTGGAAGCCTGGGTGGGCGAAGCCACGCTGGAGCTCCTGGGTTCCGGCCCAGGCGCGGGACCTGCCAGCCACGCCCCCGCGCATGACAGGCCGGCCGCTGAGGCGCTGCTGCGTCTGCTGCAGGCTGTGACCCCCGGCATCTGTGCCGAGCTGGCGATTGCCCAGCTGGCGCAAGTGCAGGCCGCCCTGACCCAGCTCGTGGCCTCCTTTGGCGTGCGAGGGGCGCTGCCCTCCTTCAAGGTGCCGTGTGTGTGCTGGTGTGCATTTCTGTGTTGTGTGCATGCTTGTGTTCTGAGCGCCGGGTGCAGGCAACCCCAGCACCTTGTTGGCGTGGCGCTCATTCACACCATCTGGGGAAACAAGAGCGCCCAGTTCCCATGGCTGGACCAATTCCCGACCGATCCCCTCCTTGCACCCCGAATCCAACAGACGGGGCAGTGGCAGCTGCTGCTCATCATCCTGCTCAAGGCACTGTCCATGCAGCGGGCGCCCTTCCTACGGCCGGCTTTCGAGTCGCGCGAGGGCATCAGCAGGCTGAACGCTGCCCTAGCCAACCGTCTGTTCACCATCGAGGAGTTTTATGCCGTGCTGGAGCTGGTGGTGGTGGAGGAGACGCAGTGACCCATTTGCTGGCGTGCCCTTGGCGGCCATTCCCGCCTGAATTCATGCTGCAGGCATGACCTTTAAGCCAGTGGCTTGTCCCTGAAGAGAGGTGTTGGTGAGAAACAGTCTACTGCAGTTCATCACCCTCCTTCCTTGTTCATGGTCTCGCTCATGGAGAAGGCCCAGATCGCGTCTTAACGTGAGGATTTGTCAGCGTTTCGCCGCATGAGAGCTTCCGTCAACCCGTCGAGACCAGCCGCGACGCCAATGCACCAAACATTCCCCCCTAGCGCCATGATCCTTTCAAGCACTGATTTGTGAACCTGCTACCCAAGGACACGGCCGAGACCCGGCCTGAGCCATGCCCTCCTCCCCCACTGAAATAGACTGGCGGGGAATCAAATGTGAGGCGGAATCCTCCTCAGCCTCGGGAGACTTCATGAGGTCTGTCGACGAGTACAGGCGCGCACTGGAGGGCCTGGAGGCCAGCACCTCCGGGCCGCAGGAGCGCGAGCGGGCGGAGCTCCTGGTGGCGCAGTGCGGCGCCCTGCTAGAGCTGCACGAGTGGGACGCGGCCGCTGGTGTGGCTACACGCGCGGTAGAAACCTGCCCTAACTGGGACCAGGGTGCGCGGGGCCATGTCACGGACAGGTCTCGGGTGGCAGGGGCCGAGCATTTGAAAGGGGGGCCGGGAACTTGTGGGCATGGCATCCCACTCGTGGCATGCAGGCCACAATGGAGGAGTCTGGCCATCCACGCACCTCATGCCTCCCTTCCCCTCGCAGCGTGGTTGGTGCTGGGCAAGGCCCTGCGCGGCGCGCGCAACATCCACGGCGCGCGGCGCGCCTTCCAGATGGGCCTCCAGGTCGACCCTTCCAACCGCACGCTGTCCATGCTGCTGGCCAAGAGCGTGGCGGAGGCGGTGGAGTCCGACGCCAGCGAGGACGCGGCCCGCGCAGCCGGCGGCGGCGGCGGCCGGCGCGAGCCCTCCTCCGTGCTCCCCCAAGATCAGGAACCCGCGCTGGGCGACTCCGACGCGCTCTCCTGCGACGACCCCGGCTCCACCGCG